ATTATTATTATTATTATTATTATTATTATTATTTCAGAAATGCAGGGGGTGGAGGCGGGGAGTGGAGTGAGAGAGAGGAGATGAACGAAAATGACGGCGGGGGGGAAGGAGGGGGGTGGGAGAGGAAGCAGATCTGGGACACTCACAGGCGTGTGGCAGCCTCAGTGGAAGTCTCATCGCCCTCGATCTTGTACACCTTCCCGTACATCACGTAGTCAAACTGGTCCGCCCTACAAGGACAAGGGTATCAGTACCAGAGTACCATGGCAGAGCACGGCACTCAGAAACAGTACGAGAAGCACTAGACAGAGGAGGGCATTCCTCCTGCATGAGCACAGCGTTAGACAGTATAAGACCTCCTGCTTGAACACACTTCAAGAACAGGTTTACAGGCAAAACAGAGCAGAGGTAGCAGGAGAGGGTATAGCAATACAAATCAGACCAAAACATTTACCATGTGCAAAAAAAAAACCTTATACAGGACAGAGATGAGAAAAAGTACAAATACTAATTGCAAGAGTCGCACTTACTACAGCTTAGTCCTTTAAAGTTGTGAAGTGTTAAACAGCAGCAGGACAATTTTTAATGAGGGTGAATATTCTGAAGCAGCATTGAATAGTCGTGAGGATATACTTGATACAGCGTTTGGTATTCAACCAAGCCAGCGGGGGGCACCGTTACCTGGAAGGCCGATCATCTGTGGGGTTGTACTCGCCATCATCCGGTGTCCCATCCTCATAGAGAGTACTAGCAATCACCAGCCTGAACTTATCGCCTGTAGAGTGAAAGAGCAGGGATGAGAGAAAAGGAAAAAATAAAGGTGTGCTCAGACGACAGGGGATTTAAACAGATAATGCCCACCTCAAAATTACAGAACACCCATTGTGCCCTGAATCACATCTGTACTTTACTTTTTATTTATACTAGATTACAGACCAAAGGAGACATTTCTGATTCTCTCCATTTCTCCTGGGTAAGTAAGCAATTCCCACCCCAATGTTGTTTCATTCTCTAAGTCAATATCAATGTACTGCGATATACAGCTGCTCCACCCTCCCCGAGTGTGTCAGAGTGTCAGTGCGCCTCACCGAGGTCCACGGGGTAGATCTGGATGTTGACGTCCAGGATGAGGTCCATCTTGAAGGACTCGCTCTCACAGTGCAGTCGAGACACTGAGAAGAAGACAACAGCACTTGTGAAAACTGCCTCTTTCAGAGACAAACACAGTCACGCCAGCCCTGTTTTTAATTTATTGAATCTGCTGATGTTTTTGAGGTCTGCTTGGTTAAAGGTCTGCTGCTCCACAAATACAGAAGCAAGTTTAGCGTCATCTGCCTTTCAGACTCTTCATATGGGACACCGTACCTCACCCCAATCAGTCTTTCTCACCTCTGTCAAATTTCTTCCCATCTGGGTCAATGTCCTTCACATCGAATATGTCCTCAAACAGGATTCCCGACATGTCCCACCTGGTGACACAGTGGTGATTTAGAAAAGTACAAATTGGAGAGCACAGCACAGTGATATTATCCTCTCCACCCCGTGTGGCACAGTGACATTCTATAAACTATACAAGGCAGTGGGCATAACTACATGCTTTACAACAAAGATACACTCTTTTTACAAACCATAAAGATCTGCTACTTATGAGTGTGCAAAACCTGTACAAATCCAAGCTACAGTATACCAAAAACTGAAACAAATCCAAGATTACTTAGAGAGTGAGGTCAAAAGTTACAGAATCAATCTTTTTTGTACATTTTAAGACATTATGAAACAGGCCCACCGCAGAGTTTTAAAATGACACCAAAATCCTGTTTCTGTGCCAATAACAGAGGTAGCCTTGACTATGTAAAGTGAACAGCACATCACTCATACCTAATACTTCCATTGTAACCATTTCACCCAACACGAATACATGCAAAATACAACTGAAATCAAAGGTGAACTAAATTGTCTTTCTTGATTGGTTTCATGTGGAATGACCCGTGTAATGTATTAACAAAATACAGAAACAACTAGGCCTACAAGTACAGTTATATTACAAAGTAGGGTTAATGACTTTTGGATGTCAGAGAAGCATAACACACTGACTGTCTACAGCAATTCAATCTAGAAAGTACTATCCCTAACAATTTTGCAGATTCAGTGTGTTCCATTGGAAATGTCCCTGCTATACACATGCAAAATGCATCCATCCCAACAGCTATTTCCTGTACCGCTCAGTGAACAGAACAGGGGGAAACAACTGGAACCCGGATAAAAGTCAAATGGGCACAGGGGTTCATGTGATGCCTGGCTTAGAAAGAACTGTACTAGAAAACATTCTTTACACACCTTCCTCAAGTTTGGAATGGGCTACAAGGATGCTTTCTGAAGACAGGACCACTGGGAGATTATCAGTGCTGAATGTTCACAACTGACTAGTGGTTCCACAGTCATTGGTGAGCATTAAACTACTTAATTTTTAAACAATTTCTGTAATCCTAACAGGCTAACCTAGGCCTTTGAAACAAAAGCACTTAATTCAGAGCTGGTCACTGCGCAGCCCTTCAATTCCTCCTCACTGTACAATTTGTCTACAACACACTGCTTAAGTACTGAATTGACGATATAACAATTATGGAGATGGTGTCAAAGGATGTAATTGGAGTGAATTGCAAAGGTCGCAGCTTGTGCAGCCCTATCTTAGTGTATAAGAAAAATGACCACCAGCTGACCTGTTATTTTCGTTATCTTTTCTTCCTGTTTTTACACAATTACATAAATGAATACCGTTTCACTTATGTCAGTATTTCTGCCTGTTAACAAGATCGAGGAGAAGGTGGCTTATATCAGTTGCATCCTGGAACTAAGGCAAAACAAGATCAAACTACAGATTCTAGATACAGAGTCCGTCCTCCGAGCACACCGCTATCGGAGAAGCGAATCGGATATTACGTACAGACTTTTAACGCGCGTTAATAACATGATTGAATGAACATGGACAACTATTGAGTTATAGAGACTACTCAATTACTACTTCACTCGATTCAATGAAAACAGTTGCACTTACTCTGTCTCCCTCGATGCTACGAGCCACAATAAGCTATTTAATTCACACCAGTTGGCAGTCTAACAAATAAATCAATCCAAGTTTTTTTTTTGTCTGCGAAAACTTCTAATTCATCAGTACAGAATCGCAACGCGCGGATTCACAGCATGCTCAACCTCCAACCTCTGACCCTCAGTCTGAACGTCACACTTACTACTTCCGGAGTCATGGACCAACAGAACGGATGTTTCAATTTCGAGTACCGAGATTTAAAATTAATATAGATGACAAATGTGTTTTTTGTGACAATAGCCCTGAAACTATTCAGCATTTGTTTTGGTTATGTCCCAGGGTAAAAATGTTCTGGACTAAGTTGCAGAATTATATTAAAAAAGAGACCAATATTGATATTTGTTTTGTTGAAAAAGATATTATGTTAAGTTTCAGCCCCAGTGCAAACAATATAAAATTTCGTTTGTAATAAATTTAATTATTATACTGGCACGTTATCACATACATAAAATGAAATGGTCTGGGAGATACCCTGTGTTTGAGTATTTTAAAATGGAAGTAAAGGGGTATTTGCAGACTATTTCGAAATGCAAAAATATGAAAGCGGTGCTGGCATTATTTTTATTTAATTTGTTTAATCTTTTTTCATAACTTGAATTTTATGTAGTAGTATGTACCCCTGACGATATTCTTGTTTTGAATTGACATATGTACTCTTGTTTGTATTGTAATTTTTGTTCTTTTGTTAAGCATAAATAAATAAATAAAAATTCGAGCACCGTGTCCATGGAGACGGTGATGCGTATATGTACGGCAGGCGAGAAGTGAAGCAAATGTGATTGAAGACGATACTGTACGATACTCTGATTATTTGCACATTATGTCCGGACAATTAAAGCAATTAAAAAAACTAACAAAATATGTGTAATGTTAATGACACGTGATTTATTTTAACGCAAGATTGTAAAAAATCTGGAAGTAATTTAATTTAGACTACTTTGATAATTATTACTCCTTTATTTTGTTCTTAGTTTTAAACCAAAATCTTGTTATTGTAGCTGTAAAGATTTCCAAGTTCCATGAAGTGCCTAAGCATTGTTTGATATTCTGGATTGATGTGAATGTTTGTGAATGCAATCTGAGATGATTGCTTTTGAAAAAGCAATATTTATTTGTTGTTATTACATAATGTGAGCACATTTGTGAGCATCAAAGGTTCAATTTATTTCACCACGTAAAATGTTTGTGCGGTTAATTTTAATAGCCTGGGAAAAAAGCAGCAGACAAAATAAATTGCTGTTATTATTAATAATTTATTTTGACTACTGCATTAGTAATATTAAAAAACACTGTTTAATTAATAATTGCTTACACTTATATAGCGCTTTTCTGGACACTCCACTCAAAGCGCTTTACAGGTAATGGGGGACTCCCCTCCACCACGACCAATGTGCAGCATCCACCTGGATAAATAAGTGTAACAAATACGCCTCTGCGCATTACAGGGATGTTGGCCACCCGGGCTATGAAGGTCTTCTTTAACTCAGCCGGCAATATTCCTGTTGAGAAACGCCGGAGAGCCGGTTTCGCGCCCATCCTGTAGAAGGACGACCTGGGGCGGGAGTGGCGAGGGTACAAGCCCTAGAACCCCAATCCGTTACATAACTATACATACAGTACAAAACAGTAAATCCAAATTCACACTGTTAATTACGAACTTGTTTTAAAAAATGTAGCCACTATCAAACCTAACAAATCTTTAACAACCGCAAGATAGCAATAATAATTATAATAATTAATTTTCTAAACTATGAAACTACTGTACAGCTGAAGAGCCTGTTTGCAAATGTCTCTCGTTTGGTGACGACCCCAAAGGGAAGTCCGTTAAAAAGAAGCGGCGTCTATCGGTCTGTATATTGTCCTGAAACCAGAAGACTCCAGCATCAGCTCTGTGGTTCAGGGACTGTAGCGATTCAGGGGCGCGTTTTAAATAAGCGTTCGGGACACCAGGCGTGGGTACAGTCGACCCAGTTTCTACGGCAACTGTTTCCGTTGCCTTGGAAACGAAACACTGATGGAACGGATTTTCTGGTGGTGATGCTGATTGCAGTAGCGCTGAGGAAGGTCGCCGTGTACAACATCATTCTCGCACCTGCCATTTAAGCACTGGTATCGAGTGTACGGAAGGCAAGGAGGAGTTTTCCACGTTTTCCTCTCCTTTTGGAATCGTTTCGGTTTCTTCCATCATCGGTAGGCAGACTCAGTGATTACAGAGACCTGTGGATCACATCGCGGCAAGAATTGGGAAATGGGGAGGCAGAAAAGCTGGTTGTTCATCTGTAAGTATTAGTAGTAGTAGTAGTGGTAGTGGTAGTGGCGGTGTTACGCTATGCCTTAACATTTTAAATGGTAAAATCCTATCAATAGAGATATTTTCCACATGTACAAAAAATAAACTTTATCCCTGAATCGTTGTCATAGAAAAAAACATATTTTATATCTTGCCCTGTGGTCAGATGTGTTTCTTTTTCTGTTTGTGGGTGGGTGGTTTTGGGTGATTTCGGGCAATTGTCTTCCTTTTTTTATCTCAAGAACCATTAGAAAGTGACTTTCAGACATCAGGAAAACAAGCAAGCTAGGTGTCAAAAAGTGTGACAAGGATAACAGAGCAGCCAGGGGCACATTCTGTCTGCTTCTCTATTCTCTGTAGGTGCTATTGAGTCTGTGCTACACAGGGCTGACTATATTGTTCATTTCTGTCTTTATCGCATTGACCATTCCTGGTTTGTTCTACAGGACATCACACACACAGAAAGGCTGCCATTGTGAGCTCTCTCCAGTGCTCTCTGGCTCTGTCTCCCCTCTCGCAACAGCGGCTCAGAGAAGGTCACATTCTCACAGCTAGTCTTCGTTCTGGGCCCAGCTCCACAGCAGCCCGTCACAAAGGAGTCCAGTTGCACTTGCACAAGTGGGACCACAAGATCAAGTTCAATTACTCCCTTGTTTGCGCAGTCCAAATCAGAGAAAAAGTCAAACTAGCTAGTTGACTCCTAACAGGAGCAGTTGACGCTTTGAAGACTCGAGCTGGTCTGAGAGCTGCATGAAATGAAGCATTAGAAACTGCTGCTCTGTAGTGTATCAGCAACCAGTGCTAGGAGGTAATGAGTATCCTGGCCTCTACTGTGATTCACTGCACCACAAGACACGCACACATTAGACACACTGAGAAGTATGTGTACACAATTTAACATTCTGCTGCCCACCCCACCGATTGTACAGGGCTAAAACCAGGTTGCTTCTACTGTTGCAGACTGATGTGCAGGACTAAGAAGACCTTTATATGACTGGAGAGACAGAACAATATTTATGGTGAGTCTGACAGCCAGCCTCCAATTTTTTAAACACTAATATCCTTGTGAAGGCGTTTTGTGGTTTCAGGACAGACGGATAGACGGACAGACAGACAGACACTTTTATATACTGTGCTTGTGCTGATGTAAGGTTACTATATTTTTTAGTTCCATGTTTTACGTGCATGTACTATGCCTTCCTCATGTGCTTGTGTGAATCTGACAAATACTGCTCCATGCTTCCTTGTGCTGAAGTGAATCTGCCAAGTACTCAACCATTCCTATGGTTTCTGGACTGTGCCTGCTACAAACTGCCTTGTTTTGTGCTGCATGCACTACATAGTCTGTTCTCTAGCCCAGGCCTCACTGGTCCCTTTAAGACCTAGGCAGTGGGTGAGGAATGCAGCACAAGCATGTCAGTGTAGGGTTATATTTATCCTGGGCAGCGCAAGAGAAGAAAGAAGACTGTACTTCCACTATGGTACGAACACTCCCTGGTGTTTTTCCTGGGCTCACCTAACTAGGAGGCTCTTGGTCTCCTTCATCCCGTGAGGAAGACAAGGGAAGTCCTGGGTGCATAAGCTGCCATCAATACAATAGCCAAGTCATTTGTTAGGAAATAAGACAACTTGAAAACAACTTTGAAGATTTAAACTAGGAGACAAAAGCAGCACAGCAGATCCGGGTCAGAATGGGACCAAGGAATAAGCTATGTTACAGACATAGTCAAGACGTAAGGTATCAGACTGTATTTCTCTGTCCGCCGGTCTGTCTCTGTGTGACCTATAAACCCACTCTTTGCAGATGGCATCTAATGATTCTTTCCCTGAAGAGAGTTCCCCAACCCCACAGCCTGGTGACCTGATTGAGATCTTCAGGCCAGCCTATCAGCACTGGGCACTGTACCTGGGTGACGGTTATATCATCAACCTCACACCTGTGGGTGAGTACCAGGGCTGATTGTGAAGTGTTGGTGCATGTTTCCACTGCAAGCCCAGCAAATGCTACAGTGCCGACACAGTTCTGATTACAATGCCTCTGCTGACAGATGACAGCCCGGCAGCAGCTCTCTCCAGCGCAAAGTCCGTGTTCAGCAGGAAGGCAGTGGTGCGAATGCAGCTGCTGAAGGAGGTCGTGGGCGGGGACTCCTACCGTATTAACAACAAATATGACGACAAGTACACACCCCTCCCCATCTGTGACATCATCGACCGTGCACAGTTCCTCATTGGCCAGGAGGTGTCATATGATCTGCTGGGCAACAACTGTGAGCACTTTGTGACCCTGCTGCGGTATGGGGAGGGTGTGTCGGACCAGGTGAGCCCGGTCCTCTCACGGCTTTAGTTATGCCATGCTTCCAGTTACCATCAACCACCACCTCTCCCCACCTAAAACCCACCTTCACTCTTCATATCTTTGCCCTCCTCCTTTTAACTCTCTCTCTCCCCCTTGCCCTCAGGCGTCCCGTGCAATCGGTGCTATCAGTTTCGTGACGGCAGCTGCAAGTGCCTTCTCCATGCTGGGAATGGTTCACAGTCGCTCCCGTCAGAGGCCCTTCTGAGCCCCAGGTCCTGTGCACCCTGAGGCTCCAGAATCCCCTATGGCCAAGGCCCTGGAAAAATTCCCAGAAGGCATTGGGAACAGGAGCTGCTGTGAAGTGTAAAAGCGACAGTGCTCAGTTCTCAGGATCCCTGTCCTCCAGAGCTGTGCAGCTGAGCAGGTTGGTAGAGCTGAACATTTTTACAGTGGCACTGCTTATCTAATTTTTAAAACCATTAAATGTTTTTTAAAAAATAATTGTATATAGAATCACCTTGGTTGTTGTTTTTTTTTGCAATAAAAAGGAAACAAAATCAATGAAATATCTCTCCCACTTATGTTTCCAGCCTTACGTCTTTAAGACTCAATGCATCTCTTTCTCATTTTCCCCACATAGTAAGTGTTTTTCTAGTCCTTTATTTAAAAAAATACTCTTACTACTGAATGACAATCATGTGAAACAGAGGTCAGGATAGATCAGAAATTGAAATAAATCAGCCAAGTGCAGCATATTATAAAGAGTTAAAAATATTTAATGTGCAACATTTTTGGCATGAATGAAAAGGTAGTATCTTAAAATCCTGTAAACGTAAGATTTAGAGTGGCTCTCTGGGCAATCTCACTAGTCTAACTGTGACTGATCTGTTGTCTTGTACAGGGCTTGAAATCCACAACAATTTTGACAATTCAATCCTGTGGGCTTTTCCAGTATCAACAAAGAAACACAAAGCAGAGAACACAAGCACTCTAACAATGGGAAAGTGTTTTTAAATCTGAGAACACAAGGCTCTACTTTAAGTGAAAGGCTGCAAAAGTCTGGAAAAAGATGCCTAGTTATGCTGTTGCAGGCAGTATTCTGTCTTCTTCCAAAAACCAAATGACAGGATGAGATCCCAGGACCACTTAATTGTTTGCAATTATAATAATAATAATTAATTATTGCTTACACTTATATAGCGCTTTTCTGGACAGTAATGGGGACTCCCCTCCACCACCACCAATGTGCAGCATCCACCTGGATGATGCGACGGCAGCCATAGTGCGCCAGAACGCTCATAACACACCTGTGAGTTGCAGGGTGATATGGCTCCTTTAAACTCCAATTAAAGGAGTTTGAGGGGCTGAAAGGCCGCCTCTCATTTGTAACCTTTCTTATGTTGGGAAAAACGGCAAGTCTAAATTCAAAACAATATTAAAATAGCCAGATTCAATTCTTAATTCTTATTTGATACAGACAGTGGAAAGGCATGGGACCTCAGAGCCTGTGCAGCAGAGCTGACGTTACTGTCCACTGTTCTCAGAGCTCTGTAGGCAGACACTGTGGAGCGCCGGGGCTGCCGCGAGCTCAAAGACTGATGTACGTGCGCAGGTTGCGCTCCCAGGCCCTCTCCCTCTCCTCTCGTCTCCTCTGTGCCCTCCGCGTCAGCGTGGCTCCTCTCTCCACGCGAGCGGCAGGGGGCCTCTGCACGGCTTGCTTGTCGTGTGGCCTGAAGTGCGTGACCCTAGGCGTTGGCGCCGGGCCGTAGCCCAGCCCGCCGTGATCTCTCTTCAGCACCGTGCTGATGGGATCTTTGCGCCCCACGCCCTGCGGCCCCAGCCCCGACCTGGGGTCCCAGCCCTCGCGCACCATGAGCCGGAAGCCCACGCTGCTGGGGGGCAGGCAGTAGTGAGGGGTGGGGGGGGGTCGGCGCAGGCTGAACTGGTGCAGGGTGGAGCTGCAGTGCGTCTCCTCCCCCTCGTGGTACTGGCTCTGACACACCGCGCACCACAGCGGCTCCGAGGCTGGCGGGCTGCAGGGAAGCACAGAGATCACCAATCAGCCGCGTCTCTCTTCTCACATCTGCTCTAAACAACCCAAACGCGGGATCCCGGGGGTGTGTCCAGAGATGTTTAATAAAACTTCCAGGGAAAAAATGTGAGTAAAATCACACACGTATTTTTAATGTTGTCTTAAAAAAAAACAACCAAGAGGTAAAAATAGTCTGGTGTCTATGTGGAGACAGAGGAAAGTAAACATCAACAAACCCAAATATCTGGACAAACAGCCTGTCTAAATGCTAGGCTGTGGACAAAGTGAAAATGAACATCAAACCCATCTTCAAAAAGTCTCCTGTTAAGAAAGCTGTTGCCTTAGTTTTTACAAATGAAAGCTTCCGCAAGAGAACTCCTCTATCAGAGCCTTCTGATCTCTCGTTTACCTCCCTGCACGGGAGTGTGGGATTGAAGAGGAAACATGGCTTCTATGTGGAGTATTAAGAGCACTTTAAGATTTTATGAGCAAAGGCAGAATGGCTAAAAACATGAATTCCACACGGGCTACATTTACATCTATTCCTTTGGCAGAGCCTTTAATGCCAAAGCATTTAATGACCATCCATTCTTTTTCTAAACCACTTCATCCAATTCAGGGTTGCGGGGAGCCGGAGCCTATCCCAGCACGCAACAGCCACAAGGCAGGGTACACCCTGGCTGGACGGGGCGCCTGTCCATCGCAGGGCTCACACACTCACACCAGGCCAGAGCTGATTTTTCCCACAAGCCGTTTAATTATGTCTTTGGACTGTGGGAGGAGACCAGAGCACCCGGAGGAAACCCAGGTGAACATGGGGAGAACATACAGACTCCACACAGACAGCACCCTGGGAACTGCCCCAGCTCTGTCAGGCAACAATGCTGAGTAAGTGTGTTATTGCATCTGAGGTACAGACCTCTGTGGGTGTGCCGGAGGCTCTGGCTGTGCCCGGTACTCTTCCAGCTCCCTCACCACCTCGCCATGCCCAGCCTCTTCCGCCAAGTCCTTGGCATCACGGCCCTGCGTGTCCACGACGCCCACCCAGGCTGCCCCCTGCTGGAGGAGGTACCGCACTGAGCCCCGCTGTCCGGCGTAGGCGGCACACATGATGGCGGTCCAGTAGTAGCTGTCCTGGAAGTTGATGTCACAGCCGCGCTTCTCCAGCAGCTCCTGCAGGCCAGGCAGGTCCCCGTCTTGCGCGCACTTCAGCAGCCGGTGTCCGTCCCTCTCCGACGTCCGGAAAGCCGCCGGGGCTGCTGCGGCGCGAGGGGGCGGCCTGCGCCCCTCTCTCCCTCTGTCCTGACGCCTCTCCTTCTGGGCGCCCCTCCTGCTCTCGTCTCCGCTCTCTCTTTCGCCACTTTCCAGAAGACTCTCGTAGAAAAGTCGGGCCTCTGCTCCGCTCAGCGCCCCCTCTTTTTGGCTCCCCGCCCCCCCAGAACCCTCCCTGACCCCCAGCCAGCCCACTCCCTCCTCCTGGGCTCGGGTGAAAGAGATCAGCCCGTTCATCGCCCTGCAGGGCCCTCCATTCAGTCTCAGAGAGTCCTCCAGAGATGTCCTCCTTCCAAGGAAAAAAAAACCTTAAAAAAGAATACATATTTTAGCAGCAGACAAAGCACTCAATACGTCACTTATACAGTATTTGCTGAATTTTCATCCTGCACAGTAAGAGGACCCGCAGACTCCACACCTACAAGTCAGAATCCCCCGAATCCAGTTTGGATTATTTGATTTTATAGACGTTTTTATTTTGCTGTAAAAATGAAACTAGTCAGGTTACAAACCTGTACAAATATCATTCGTTTTTTTATTTTTAAGTGTTATTTTTATACTTATGTACGTGTACACGTGATACGTACTGTATGTCAGCGTGCACACCAATGTGTTCATGTTCAAAACAAGGACATTGACTGAGTCTTTATTTCAATATTCTTTTAAGTAAATTATTTTGTAGCAGTTTTTATATTGACTCTGATATTTTTGTATCATCGCCATCATGAAAGTTCTAGAGTTCAATTTGAGAGAGCCAAAGACAGTGGTCATACCTTTCCGTCGTATCTGCCAAGTCGACAACTTCGCGATACTAGTTAAGAATGTATTCAGAGAATCAAAGAGACGACTTTCCACGATATTTGTCTTCAACCCAGGTTGTTTCTCGCAGATCACAGCCTTGCAAAAACACCACTCACAATGTTTACAACACACAAAATCTTGGAGCAGTTTAGACACGGAGATACTTCAACCTATAACACTTAGTCAGAGGGATATGAATGACTTGATACGAAAAGAAATATCTGAAATTTCTAATAACATGAGTAAAAAAGGCTTTACGTACTTTTTTATCTGAAAGGGGCTTTCTGTACTACCTTACCAACTACACAACGCCGCCATATTGGAATACCCGCTAAAGCACTCGCGTCCGAGACGTCATTTCCGCTCGTGCTCGGCGGCGTAGGTTTAGGGCTCATACGGTCAGCCGAGAACTGCTGGGTCTTGTTCTGGAGTAACTCTAGTTTCCCACTGCTGAAGTACCGTGTTAACATGCGACAGTCTGCAGGATTCTGCCCGTTTGCAAGATAAAGCTAGTAGTGTACTTGTTAAGAACATCACTAACCCAGACAGAGACAAAACAGCTTTTAAATCGAAGACCATTTTCAAACACTGCCCCATTCACTGCATGCATTTACACGGCCAGCGAACACCCTACTCAATATAATCACATTGCTACAAATTTAAATCAATTCCTTTATTATCAATATTTTAAACATTTGAAAACAGTCATTTTAGGCTTTTCATGTAATCATTGCAACACCTATAGAGTTTGATGAAATAGACAAAAATCAATCACTCAACTCAATTTTTAATTCATAGGTGGGCATTTGGTCCATGAATCCAAACTATTTCCCATTTATGATGGGGAGGATGTTGGAATCTGTAAATAACGGAAACAAAGTGGTCTCCAAGTCCAAGCTTGGTCTTCTCCTTGTAGGTGAGGATGATTAATTCAATGATTAAGTGAGAAATTCTCTGATGCGTGAAGCAAAAGCTGTTTTTTCTGATTATTCATGAGCATTGTGGTAGAGGTTCCCTTACTCTGGCGCCACTGGAATGTAAGATTGCAATGACGGTTAGAAATGAGAGCAGGGCACTCTGTCCATCTTCTTCAACTGGTTGTTAGTAGCCGATTGATCCAATATCCTCGATCACCCATTTTTTTTATCCCTAGCATTGAGCTTCAACAACAGAATTACCCAGCTCCCCCTACACATGCTGCCCTTTGTCCAGCACAACATGCCTCATGTCTTAACTTGCAGATACACATACTCTTAGTTTAGTTCTTTTTCCTAAAGACCCCTGGGTTGACTTTTTCCAAAGCTTTCAGTTCCTGCAAAAACTGCATCGAGTTCCCTTATAGTCCAGTGCTCCTGGGTCTGCAAATTTCCATTCTAACTCAGCTCTTAAGTTAAATGACTGAGTTACGTGCTTAATTGGACCAGTTTAACAGCTTCCCCCAGCTCTTTCAAGGGCCCAGGAGAGCTGCAGTAGGGAGTTATTTACTGAATGGGAAGTCACACATCGATATCACACTGTATTATACAAACCAACGAGTGGCTGGTTTATGCACATCCTCCTTCAAGAAGGAAATTAACAGGATAAAAACAACTTTTTTATATAAAAAACACTATAAAAACAGTTTAAAACACTTCATACAACCCTCACTGGAAGAAAATAAAGACACTCCACAAAGAAACCTCTTAACAGCAAACCATAGTATCAATGTCTACTAATAAGATTTTATTTTTTGTCATTGTTGCTGTAAACTTATTTACATAGAGTATCAAAGTCCAGCAGGCATACACAGATGTAGTTCAGGTGGGTAGCTGCGTCAGCATGCGTAGGCTGCAAAGGAACAAGTAATAGGTTTATTCCATGCTGAAATGCATGTGAGACACCTGAAGAAGGCTCCACGGCCGAAACGTTGTGTTTTTTCTTTTTTTCCCGCATGGAATAAACCTATTACTCGTTCTCATAAATATATGTATACTACTCACAGGGAAAAGGCCTACTGCTTGATCCTTTGGCTGCACTGCACTGATTTCTCCTCAAGAGGGAGACAGAGTACACTTGATTGAGCAACACTACAACAGACCCTAAGCAGAGCTCACCTCTAGTCCCCCACACCTCCTGCCTTGGGTTGTGGTGTCAGTCTGCAGGGGAAGGGCCACCTCCAGGGACAGTGTGTGCTCCAGCTCTCACAGCAGCAGGTATTGCTTGTGCTGTGCAGCCAAGAAGGGGGTCTGGATTCTGTATTTAGTCTGAACTTATTGCAGTTTTTACAGTAGCCTCAGTTAATTCAATCACAATTTTGCATCCTGTGTTGAATCAGACATTCTGATCAGGATACGTCACCAAAATCATCCCAGACAACAGTCCAAAACATCTGGATTTCAGAAAATGTGTGACACAGGACTTTGGTGAGTTGAATCTGCACTACATCTCGTGGACTGGAAAGCCTTCGTTGGGCTCCTAGGCTGAGACTTTGGGTCTCAGTCCAGGCAACGAGAGCGGGGCCTGAAATGGTGAGTGAATTAAACAGATGCAGAGTAAGTCTGCCTGAAAACTCGCGCCTCATTCTGTGGAAAAAGGCTGACGGATGACAGTCCAGGAGGAAGTGGCCGAGGAGGGTCAGGACAGCGGTTACTGCCGGCGCCGGCGCTGGTGCTGGCGCCTGCCCCCCTCTCTCTGCTCCTTCTTCTTCAGCGCCCTCATGTCCTTCTTCATCCGGGAGTCCACCACCTTGAACACGCCCTTCACCCCCGCCGGACGGCGCACCTTGCGTCCTGCCCCGCGCTTGGCCACCACGTATGTCACCTCCCTCTTCTCCTTCCCCAGCCCGGCCTTCTTGTAGATACTAGAGGGGAGAGGAGATGGCGATGGGGCAGTTAAAGACAGCACTCAAAGAGAACAAGAGTATTGGGGGCAATGAGTCAGTTGACAGTGTCTGTGTGCTGTTATTTTAAAGTGAGCTCAAAGCTGCGTGGCTTTCATACTGTTGAGGCGTGCCCTACTGCTGTCTGGCTCGGCTGCGGAGATGGCGATCTGTGCTAGGGGTAAGGGCTGGGTTACCTCTTGAGCTGGGCCATCTTCTCTCTTTCGGAGATATCCACAGTGTTCACCACGGCCTCCGCCTTCTTCTTCGCCTGCTCCATCTTCTTTAACACCTGATGCGGAGACAGAGCTTGCTTACAGACGGCCACCAGCAGAGCACCCCAGAGCGGAACGCTTACCCCCACCCGCCTCCTCCTCCTCCCCCCCCTTGGCCCGCCCCTCCGTTCCTCACCCTCCTCTTCTTCCGGGCCTTGGCCTCGGCCACCTTCTTGATGGGCCGGGCGTTGATCTCTCTCCAGCGCTGCCGGTACTCCTCCACCATCTCCCGGGTGACCGGGACGGTCCGGCGCCGGTGCTTGCGCTCGTCCTCCAGGAACCATTCCGGTACCTCGTCCACCTCCTCCGAGAAGGCATGCCTGGGCGGGGACAGACACCGCTACAGACCACCCGACACCGCCGCACGCCCTCGCGCCTGCCCCCTGGCCCCACAGCGACCTCCAGACAGCGGCGCGGGTGGCAGCAGGCTTGTTCATTGGTAACCCAGAAAACTCAGAGCAGGTGTGGCTGCACGCGTTTTAGAAGCCGTAGTGGAAATGCAAAGACTTGGGACCCCTGACTGAAACATTCAAGACACTGCAAAAATAATACAAAGCAAAGAACTGCATTGGGGAAGGAACATTATAAACACCAAACCGAAGGCCATCAACCTGAAGTAAGCTATCGCAGTGTTTCTCGTGCCTTCAGACACGAACGGGCATGCAGCATTTGGAGAACATAATAAAAAATGAAATTACTGTTTATATAAATTACTTTTGTATAATAAAGGTTGTAAAATTACATGTTATGTGTTCAGTGTATATACATGGGGCAGAGGCCATGCTCTAAGACTGTTCATGTCAAGCGAGTCGATGTTTTCCGGTCGGACGGACATAAAAACCAAGAACACACGAGAGCGGATGAGCAAGAGATCCTAGTTTCACGTCATCACTTCCTCCCAGGACAAGGTAATTAAGAGGCCAATGTGAATTTGCCCAGTGAACAAATTCATTTAGACCTGTCTGTTTTGTGCAGGGAGGGGAGGAGCACGCCACAGATTTTTTAGGTTCATGCCATCTCGCCATGGGTTCGAGGAGGCTAGGAAGTACTGACCTATGGAAAGGATGTTATGTGGGCTAATCAATAACCTCATGTAGTGGGAAGTGACAAAAAAAGGGCAAGAGAGTCCCTGGATATGTATTGACAAGTCCTGAATCTAAATCTGCTCACTGAGAAAGTCTGACTGGATGAGGTGAGTGGAGCAAAACCCAGCTCCTTAGTGCACTGGAACTGTCACTGTGCCCAAAAACACACAGAGAAAAGTACAATGCTCATGCCCTGTTTCTCAAAAAACACAATTTGTATTTTATTAAAAGTGACTGAGTTTACTAAATGCACATTATTGATTCCAGCTCCATAATTCCTTGCCCTACACAGGATGGCAATACTTTTCAATCCATCCATTTCCTAATGGCTTCTTCCAATTCTGGGGTGCAGGAGATCCAGACCCTGGAAGGGGTGCAAGTTCACTGCAGAGCACACAGACATGTACACACTCACAACAGTGTCAGTATACTCAGAAGCCAATTAACCTACCAGCATGTCTTTGGACTATGGGAGGAAACCCATGCGAACACAGGGAGAACATACAAACTCCATGCAGATAGCACCCCAGGTCCAGAATTGAACACAGGGCCCTGCACTGCAAGGCAGCAATGCTATATACTACACCACTGTGGTGGCCATG